GAACTTGGGGTCAGCCTTGCTCATTTTTGTTGCAATCAGCAGCAACCCAAAGAATATGGCACATGGGCAATATCCTTGATGGATTCGTCCGCTTCGAGATAATGGATTTAACGGGTTTAATGGCAACATGAAAATCGTAATTCCATTATTAGTGTGGGTAGTATCAATGTGTTCTCGTAGAGAACATATACAAAAAAATGAGGTTACCTGGATGAAAAATTGATTATGCGGCATTAATTTGAGTTTGCATAGCGATCCAAAAGTGGTGTCCATCATTTTGCGAACCGATTATGCAAAATTCTTCTTTGAGGTCGCTGCTGTGAAAAGTTCCGGCATCATGTTCGCCATTCTAATAGATAGCACTGCATCGTCCAATATATCAAAGAAGTGATAAATTGAAGAGAAGTTTTACGTCTAATCTAAACAAGTCCCTGTTGGTAGTTTTGAATTTACGTCGAGACCGAAAGATATGAACAATTCAAATAATTCTTTGTTGAACAAACATTGACATAATTTAGCTAGTTTCCATTATAGTAAATAAAATATAGGTTCAATAGGATCACCAATTCAATGGATGGCCATATCACAGTCAATGTTGTTAACTATTGGGTCTATGTGTTAATTTCCGGCCTTTTTCAGAAGACGGCGTAAATAGTACAATATCACATCGGGCAATATTGTTGCCACCTGTATAACAAAGTACTGTTGAAATACTATTTTTTTCAGTATGTCTCATTTTTCTGAAGTCCAAAATAAAAATCATTTTTTTTCGACGAGTCTGTAAATTGACTTTTGCGGGAGCTAGTTTTTTCTCACAGGAAAAATCTGAAAAAAAGAGATTATTTTTGTATCGGGTAGGCACTGGTTATAAAGAATGGACCATTTTCGATAGACTCAAGCATTAGAAACCAGTTCATGTGCTGAAAACTGAACAAAAATCAATTTCTGATTACAAGGTAAAATTTTCTCTCAAATGAAAAATGCAACAATGTTCGCTTGTGGGTCGTTGTAGCTCAATGGACAGAGATGCCAATGTTTCCTCTTCTTCATCGCTTTAAATTAGTTTGGAAGGAAAGAAAAAGTTGACATTTACTCTAAGCGATGCGTTTTGGATTTTTCATTGGAGTATTTGCTCGTAGTGCATAGGTAAAATTTGTGCATAGGTAAAATCATATCGAAATGTTAGATTTGATCGTTCCCAACAATAACTAATCGGCATATAGCAATTTCTGACAGCAGAATTGGAGAATTCGCACAATGTAAAAAAAAATTGGTTCACCAAAGCACAATTTTTCAATGACTTTTCACCGAAAAAGTCAGAGAGTCTTCTGAGAAGCAATTGAATTCGAATACCCGCTATGTCCCCGCTGTATTTTCCAGACATTGTGCCTTCTGCTCACCACTTGTTTCAGACCATTCGAAATCATCTAAGTGGAGAACGGTTCGCTTTTTTTCCTCAAAAACTCGAAAAATGGGTCAATCCTTTTTAAGGGCCAAAAGTACCGGTTTTTTCTCGAAATATTAACTGTAAGTTGTCTAAAATATAGACGAAGGTTGTAGTTTCCGGTGGAAAATACTTTGATTAGTTTATCTTTCATTTTGTTATTAAATTAAATGAGTTTATTTGAAAAAAGCCTGAAATTAATGCATATACCCAATATATCAAAGTTTTTGTAAAGATCACAGATAGATATCATTATACATTTAGTAGAGATGTAACAAGTAAGAAATAAATTGTCAATATTTTATATTGAATTTTTGGCTTTGTACGCTGCATTTCGACGAGATGAAGATTGTGCGACTGGTGGAATTTTTGAATCGTTCAGCCACCTTGTTTGCAGACTTACACATTTGTGGCACCTGACCAATGATTTGTTTTCCCATGAGCTTGTCTCTGATCTTGAGGTATTCTGTGTGCCGTAAGATACGTACGCTCTCACCAATTGTGATGTCGTTGCGTACATTGGGACAGTTTGCGTTCCCGTTCACGATGTCATACATGAATACAATTGATGTATTCACCCTCCTACGCTCCAACGATGTCATGTTCAACGCCTCAAGTCGTTTGTTGTAATCGGCCATACTGTAGCCGTTGGCCGCTGTACGATATTCTCTTTGGGCGAACTGGGTAAATTTCCACAAAACGCTCTCGATTTTGTCGATATGTATGGCATAAGTTGGCAGCCATACAACACAGACGAAAAAAACCTTTGAATCAAACAAAGAAATACGTCAAAAATATGACGATAGCAGGTTTCCTTCCAATATTCCCATTTAATTACACGCACACAGCAAGATCAGCCTGTATTACGAAGAGGGAAAGAGATCGAGTAATATCCATACAGACAAAGCAGGACACAGTAAGTCAGCCGCACATCACACGAAGAATAGGTGAAGAGAAAGAATGCAAATAATATGCTGCCGCATGAGTTATAAATACGATAGAATGAGAATACAGTAATTTCCATTTTTGCACGCTGTCAATTGTGTCGCTGAGCATAAAAAAGGGAATACAGATCCGTTATATCAAGAACCGAACATGAAAAATTATTTCGTAAAAACGCAACATGAATCTCCAATGAACTGCGGTTACTACAGTATTATTATGACGCGCAGCGCGTCACGCGCTTTAGTGTGGCGCAAATTCATGTTGCGTTTTTACGAAATAATTTTTCATGTTACGTTCTTTCGCATATTGCTTCTTTGTTATATTTTTTCGATTGTTCTGTTCATGTTGCATTTTTCAGTTTGATTTCATCCATTCATCTACCAAAGTGATTTCGATGTACCGATAACACCAATGGATTTTGCACACAAAATACTATATAAGGATCCAAAAAATTTTTTAAACTTTTTTCTCGATTTTCGGCTATGTTGGTCCACATGGGAAGTTTCTATAGAAACGTCGGAGTTTCGGTGAAACTAAACAAGCACCTTGTCCGTCCGTCCGTCCAGGGCTCTTGAAATTTTCTTGTCCCTCCGTCCGTCCGATCAACGCTGAACCAATACCAACGCAAATCAAAACAATTGACTTGTATGGGTGACATCACTGAGTCGTTGTCAGCGTGTTATGAATATTTGCTGTTGTGAAAACATCACAGATTCTCTCACACTCTCCGATGCGTTGAAATTTCGCAATGTTTGTTTAGTTGCCGTATTTCATCCATGTTATTTCTCATGCGCTATGGTTTTAGATACTCCGTTCGTTCATAGTGATGATGTACAATAAGCGGAGCTCGATTATGTTCTCTCTCTAATGCTGACAATTGTGAACTCTTGATAAAATTATTCGAAAGAACCTAATATTTTTAAACATTCATGCAAACATACTCTACTTTTTCCGAAACCAATGTGTTAAATTGAAATATTCGGAGCCGCCGATTGTACAAATGATGAGTTTTATTGATTATGCTTGCTCAATACTTGAAATCCGGCCATGTGCACATTTTACCATACAAACCAATGTTATTTCACCGACACTCCGACGTTTTCATAGAAACTTCCCATGTCGCAATTAGTGTTGGCTTCGAACGTTCGTTCGACCGTTCGACAATATAAGAAAAAAATGTTTTGTTCGTTCGTTCGTTCGAAAGTTTTGTAAAAAATTATTTCGTTCGTTCGTTCGTTCGAAAAGTTGAAAATTTTTTTTTTTGCTCGTTCGTTCGTTCGAAATTTATGAAAAAAAAAATTTGTTCGTTCGTTCGTTCGGAAATTGCTATGTTCGACCGTTGGGATTTTTACATTTGAAATGCATAGGAAGCAAATACAATTTTGATTTCTTTGGGGAAGACTGAAGGTACAACGTAATTACCGGTGTTATTACTGAGTAATACCACTGGTAATAATTATTATCGATCTTATTACCGATTAATAAGTAATTACTAAGATGATAGTTATCACCGATTATTACCGTTAAGTACTTAATTAAACTTTGTACAAAGTTTAATTAATAATAACTATCATCTTAGTAATTACTTATTAATCGGTAATAAGATCGATAGTAATTATTACCAGTGGTATTAATCAGTAATAACACCGGTAATTACGTTGTACCTTCAGTCTTACCCAAAGAAATCAAAATTGCGAAAATCGAAAAAAAAGTTGAACAATTTTTTAATATTCTAATATAGTATTTCATGTGCAAAATCCATTGGAACATCGAAATCACTTTGATCACACTGCGTTCAACACAGTCACATTGGAAGTGCATAAGAGCTCCAGAGTGAATGTTTATACATCGACGAATTAGAGACGAAACAACGATAAAGCCGCATGCTTATGTGTACAAACAGTGAAATAGAGCACGCAAGAGCACAATAGTATGCGTATGTTGCAATTAGACAACATTACACCAAATGTTTTGAGTTTGAATTCACATTGGCATACTAATAAATTTTAGGTCTCCACAAAATTTCACGACCATTTTCACCGGTGAAAAAATGATGCAAATTTGTATGGATTTCACCACCGATTTCATTTTACCGGGAACTGTCTACTTAGCCTAATGAACATTTTTAGAATCGTTAGAAGCAAAATGTACAGAAAAAATGTTTGAATTATATGTAAATTTTCAACTACCGGACTTTTCGTTGAGAACTACCGGATTGGAATTTGGAACTACCAGAATCCGGTAGAACTACCGGCAGAGCTGGAAAAAACACTCTGTGTGTGCGCGCACGTAACTGAGAACGCACTCACAGTAGATGTCCGGCGCACAAAGCTCTTGTATTTTTGGTGTGCGTGCACATTTACATAGATTCCGCCGAAATTTTACAGTAGAACCGAAATCTATGTAAATGTGCACGCACACCAAAAATACAAGAGCTGTGTGTGCCGCACATCTACTGTGAGTGCGTTCTTAGTTACGTGCACGCACACACAGAGTGTTTATTCCAGCTCTGACTACCGGTTAAAATATGCCCTGAGTGAAAGCTTACAAATTTGTTTTATGTATGATTGGCAATTGTTATAAATTATTCTTTTCTATTCAATTCATTTAGATTGCATTGAGCGATTTGAATAGAGAAACCAGACCAAGCAAAGAGCTTACAAAATTAATGTCAGATATGGAAGCTAAACACGGTAAGTTTTTGATTGAATAATTTCATAAACTTTCCGTAATACATTAGACTTCATTAAATGTACAAAATGTGTGTAAGCATGTTACGATCTGTATGTCCAAGATAGAGGAAATAACAGGTATAATGACGTCGATTAATTGGAAATTAATGGAAACGCATCAATTGTGTACGGTAGCGTTCGCCTGTGATCGTTTCACCAGGTTTCAGCAGCTCATAATAAATCACGCCTCGCTGGTCCCACCAAATATAGAGCATTACCTTAAAACCGTGAACATTCGGCTTTGGCATTGATTTGGCTTGGCCAGGCCTAACATATGCTTTTTTCTTCTTTGGATTATCGTAATGTATCCACTTTTCGTCTCCCGTCACGATGCGATGCAAAAAACCTTTCAGTTTTTGCCGTTGAATCAGTTGTTCACACATCACAAAACGACGCTCGACGTCTCTCTCTTTCAGTTGATACGGCACCCAATGTCCTTGCTTTTGAATCAATCCCATGGCTTTGAAGCGTTTGCCGACTGTTGATAAGTCAACTTCCAATCATTCAGACAGTTTTTGAAGCGTTTGACACGGGTCTTCATCGAGTAATGCCTCCAATTCTTCATCTCCAAACTTTTTTGGCTAGCCTGGGCGTTCCTTGTCGTCCGTGTCAAAATCACCACTTTTAAACCGACGAAACCAGTATTCACAAGTGGAAATTGAAAGAGCATAGTTCCCATAAGCCTCACAAAGCAAACGATGTCCGTCAGCTGCGTTTTTCTTCAAATGGAAGCAGAAAAGCAAAGCTTCCCGCAAATTGGTCTTCGTAGGCACAAAAGTTGACATGTTCACAGAGCAAAAAAATTTTTTGTTTACACTTCGGCGAAATGACGCATACTGGAAATTGAAGCTAAATGATGACAGTTTACCATGAATATAGTCACATAATGGCCCGATGCGATTTGAGACTCTTAGCGCCATCTCTTTTCAATCCTTTAAAATTAATTCCAAGTCCCAATAATAGTTTATCCATGACCGAGAAATATATTTAAACAATGTCGCGCGTATAAATATTCTTATCACTCTGAAAAATGTGTATTTCATTTTATGTTAAATTGCGTCTACTTAATGATATCAATCGGACATGGAGGAACACATGATATCGGTCATGATATCCGATTTCCCAGACCAATTTTTTGGTTACACAAAATAAAATTGCTAAATGTAGTGTGCGTCCAACGATATATTTATCCGACCGGTTTTTTTCAAATACGACGCATTTCAGCGCCCCTGTCGCACACCTGGTGAAGTGTCATCGATATCAATTGTTCGCGCACCGTTCAGTTTAACTTGACCCGTTCAGTTTACGCAAACAAATGATATCGATGAGAGTTCACCAAGTGTGCGACAGGTGGCGCTGAAACTCGTCGTATTTGACATTACTATATAAAACATGTCAAAGAAATTCCTGTCGATATTTATCAAATGAAAAACTTTGGCAAAGTAAATTCTCCTGTCAAAAGCGAACACAAAACTGCTGATATCAATTTTAAAAAATCATTTCGGAGCGATTTCAATTTGCCTATTTTGCATTCGTATAACTAGTTTCGCTCCGACATGATTTTTTAAAATTGATATCAGAAGTTTTGGGTTCGCTTTCGGCACGAGAATTGATTTTGGTAAAGTTTTTTTATTTGACATCAGCTGATTTGTAATAGAATTTTTCAATAGAATTAACCGTAAGTCTATGTTCTCTCACAAATTTGACTATGAACGCAATAAATTTGAAATCTCAAGAAACAGTTCCATTTTCCACAATTATAGTTGATACTATGATATAAAGTTTTAAGCATGCCAGATCACCCGGATTTATCCGGATTCGCCCGGATTTTCCTTGCGAAACCGGCCGAAAAATCGCCCGGCCCGGATTTCCGTTTATTGTCGAAAAAACCTGGATTTTTTAAACGATTGTAATCAATGTTTGAAACCGTTATAACCAAAAGTTAAAATGAACTATCAAATCAATACAATCATGATTATGAGCAAAATTGATCGACGGATACACATTAGTTCGGATTTTATTCTCATTGTGTTTAGTCCGAACGGACATCCCAATTTCTTTCAGTGTATTATATGTTTTTCGAGAAAAATAAATTGAATTTTGCCCGGGTTTTTGAGTGAAAATTTTAAGACTAATCGCCCGGATCTAACCCGCGTCCGCTGGAAGTGTACACTATTTTCAAGTACAACTACATTTTTGAGTGATTTTTCATGGTTATATTATCCAGAGATTTTGGCTCAACGGACAAATCGTTAATAAATTTTTCAAAAAATATATTCATTTTCAAAAATTGTATATCAGTTTTTCAAAAACGCAAAACTAACACTAAAGTTGTTAGTTTAAAATTTACACTCTACACATAAAGCGGTCAATAAGCATGTCCATACGCATATGTTTGTATCACATGGGAAACAAATACGACACAAAATCATTGTATTTTTGTTCTGCACAATATTTTTGTGCATTTTTGTGGAAACAAACTATAATTTTACGAGAAGAACTATTGAACTTGATGTGTATGCGGTTACCCATTAGTGAAGGGGTATTGTAATGGAGGTTAGCACTTTCCAGACCAATTTTGCTATGTAATGCGACCGTAAAACGTTTCTA